TATATATATTTATATACATACACATATATATATATATACATACACATATATATATATATACATATATATATATATATATATATATATATATATATATAGTTAGATATCAGTTTTAATAGCTGTCTAAGCTTTCACAACCTTCTGATTAGAATTTCTAGCCAATGTTTCTTAATCTTGCAACAGTTATCTTCTATTTTCTCATTTGTTTAAAATTTTTTGTTTGAAGTACAGGAATGGCAGATTCCTTCTTCAGTCTTCCAAAAATATCCTTTCACCATCCACCCTAGTTGATTATGAGGAGGCTTTAAACCAAGGAAGCCTTAGTATAATGGATGTGTTTACAAGCTTAAAAAGCAAGAGTATTCTCAATTTATTTGCATCAACTGGGAGATTTTTGGGCCTCGAGGTAAAGTTTTTTTTCAAAATTTTTCACAAAAGCATCACCAAAAAGATTTCAATTTCAAAATTTCAGGGGTCTTTGCATAAAAAAGCATTTGTTTTTGTTGCACTGACTATTGATATGTCCTATATTGAAAGTTTAAGATTTCAAGGTCGGGATATTCAAGTGTCCACTTAAGGAAAGAAGAAAGAGAAGATGCATTACATATTCAAGAGACTAATAATCAAAGTGCTGACTTAAAACCGAGTGAACATATTTACCAGTTATTTTAATACATGTGCCTCTGCACTTTCTTTCTCTCCCTCACTTCATTAATTTTGGGGTTGCTCTATACATAGTGGATGGTCTGCAAAATTTAACAATAATTGAGATGTGATTTCCTTGAGAAGATTTTCAGTGGCTATCTTACTGCTTTTTTTATGATGTTAGTTTGTGTAACTGTAGGATATGAATTAGTCTAGCCTGTTTGGCAGTTTCATGTCAAGTTTCAATCTTCGGAAGCTTCTCTGGGAGAGAGTTGAATCAAGTTGTCATGTGGGATGTGGAATGCAAAAGTTGAAGAATGTACATTGCCCTTTTATTATGCTTTTCTTATTAATGAATTACATTTATCATCATTAGTTAAGTAATTTAGGAAGAACATATGTTCCCCACTTTAAACTATATCATGTCCTGACTTGTGGACATGCATACATCACATTTTGGATAATTCGTGTTTATGAGGTCAGAAAGGTTATGAAGTTAAATGGATGGCAGCCAAGAGGACACCTAATAAACAATATATGTGATGAAAGTGGAGACTTCTGTTTGCTATATGCTCTTCCTGACTGGTTATTTTTGCAGAAATAATTCAATATGGAGTTTAGAGTTTTCTGCTTTATATCATTTTACAGAAAGGACATTTGGGATTGATGTAATCCGCATGGTTACCTAGTCTCGGCTAGTTCTGTTTTTCTCTGTTTGTCTGTTTAATTACTTCAGTTGCGTAGATTGATTCAAGCATTTTGCATGAAATAAAAAGAAGCCCTGGTTAAATAAGTTTAAATAGAAGAAACTAGAAAGCAGAAACATGAGTGACATGAGAAGAATGAAGTCAAATCTATTTCTTCTCGGATGAGGTGGTCTAGACAGAAGGCCTGGACCTCTATTTTTTTCAGAGATAAAGATCAATGCATCATTTTCTGTTCATATCCTCTCAAAACAAGTGCAACATTTAGAAATGTTAAATCGAGTTAAGCTCCATAATCTCCTTTAAATGAGCTTATGGTAGGAAGCTATCTTGGCATTTAATATAATGCAAAAACGACTACAAGATGCATATAGTTCATGGGAGCAGAATTTGAGCTAAAGCACCTTGATGGCTATTGACAAAGGCCCAACTATTTCAACATCAAAGTCACGACCACATGTATAGGTGAAAAGAAAACAGAATCTGACTTTTGGAGAACTTATTTAACCTTTCATTAGTATCTTTAGAAGTGCAAATCCAGATACTTACCAAATTGTCTTACTGATTCTGCTAAGACCAATAAACATCATATTCACTACGTTGTCATTCACCTTGACTTGAGCAGCTACAACACTTGGGTTGTCAGTTTGTTTCTAGGGAGATGTTATGAGCTTTAATCTCTACTATGCTGTACTAATAATTCTCTTTGGTCATCTGCAGGTTTATGATCAGTCTTTGACTACTCTGAAGATCCCCAAGTCCATATTGAATGGGTCAGATATACTTATAATGGGTTTTCCTCAGTGTGCAAACTCTTACTATTTGCTGATGCAGGTTGACAAGGATTTTAAACCAGTGTTCAGTTTACTAGAACTGCGATCTGATCAAGATGGAAAATCTAGTTCATTCACTGATGCCATTCAAGTTATACGTTTTAATAGAATTGATATTGGTCAGATGAAGATAGTTGATGATGAATTGAATATGAGCCTTTTTGACTGGGAGAAGCTGTGTTCTTTGCCAAAATTGGGCACTTTTATTCAGGTTGTAGAACATGATTTTGGGGTAGATTCTGCTCTTCAGTTTCCTGGATTTTCGCAATCAAGTTTTTCATCTGTTGTTGATGAAGTGTTCAAGTTCGAAAAGGGTCAATTGCCCAAGACAAATCAACTCACCTCGTCTTATAAGATGCCTCCTTTGTCTTATTTAGGATCTCCTTCAAGTAGCAATCAAGGAATAAATACTGGAGTTACGTCAACTAATTTGGAAGGGGAATTACAACAATCTCAAGTTCATAAAGTTGGGAAGGCTTCGTCTAGTTTTACAAGTTCATCGAATTCATTGCATGTGACAAGCAACTTAAAAGGTATAATTCAGAATGGTGCTACTGGTTCGCTCTCCTCTTCAAGCCCTGTGAGGATCTCATCCGTTCATAAATTGTCAACCTTGAGATCTGATCAAGACAGAAGCTCTCTTAGGTACCCGTATTCGGCTGATGTTGGTCAATACCCTCCTGCGGATGAACCTCCAAAAGTGCTCAATATGATTGAAGGAAATGGGCCAGGTCAACTATTGCCTCCACTTCGGACGACTTGCCCACCAATTTCTGCCCATAGTATGGCTCCAAATGACATAGTAAACTCATCACCTGGCATTTTGGTTGGATCTTCAGAAGTTACCAGATCTAACACATTGCTCCTGGCTAATCCATGTAAGACTTGTGCATTATATATTGAAAATTTTTTAATAATGCTTTCATGTGTATTTGCTTTTGATATTTATGAAATCTTTTTGCATCACTAATGCACTTTTTATAGGCCAAACACCGGAATTTGGAGCTACCAGGTCAGATGATAATGGTGCTCACAAACATGAAAGAAAGGGAAGGAAGCGTTCTCTAGTGGATTTTATTAATTTACTTCCATCATTTCAAGGATCAGAAGCAAGTTCTCTGCAGCATAAAAGGCAGAAAATATCAAGATTAGCTAACTCTCATGCTGCATCTTCCCCACCCCTTCCATCCCTATTGGCATGTCGAACAGGTGGACATACATTTGGAGATCTTCTTGGTGAAGCAAATCATGGCATTAGTCCATCAAATTTGTATGTTTCCGTCCTCCTACACATTGTCAGGCACTGCTCACTATGTATTAAGCATGCTCAGCTAACTAGCCAAATGGATGCACTAAACATTTCTTATGTTGAAGAAGTAGGTCTGCGAATTCCATCCTTAAACTTATGGCTGAAGTTGCCATTTGCCAGGGATGATTCTTGGCAGCGCATATGCTTGCGCCTTGGTAAACCTGGAACTATGTGCTGGGATGTAAAAATCAATGATCCTTATTTCAGAGAATTATGGAATCTTAATAAAGGAAGTACCACTACATCGTGGGGCTCTGGGGTACGTATTGCCAATACATCTGAGGTTGATTCACATATTCATTATGACCCAGAAGGGGTTGTCTTGAGTTATAAGAGTGTTGAAGATGATAGTGTTCAAAGGCTTGTATCAGATTTACGTAGGCTTTCAAATGCACGATTGTTTGCTCGTGGGATGCGAAAACTAATTGGTTTGGGCACTGGTGATAGGATTGACGATAACACAAACTCTGACTCTAAGGCACAAGCCAAAGGTACTGGCGAGATAGTAGACAAGTTATCTGAACAAATGAGAAAAGCCTTTAAAATTGAAGCAGTTGGTCTGATGAGTTTGTGGTTTAGCTATGGCTCAATGCCTGTGATCGTTCATTTTGTTGTTGAATGGGAAGCTGATAAGGAAGGTTGTACAATGCATGTTTCTCCTGATCAACTTTGGCCACATACAAAGGTATGCCCCTGTTCCTTAAAAGAGCAATATGCTGCAATTTATTTCTGTGATGGCATCTCAAACCAAATAACAAAAGACAGCAACTGTATTAACTTATTAATGGAGGCATTGAAGTGTCACAAATATCGCTGCAATTTTTTTAATGTTTCTGTTGACATCTCATGTTGAGTGATGATGCAAGTACATCGATGTTAAATATCATTTGTCCTATAGATTGTAGTGCAGCCTTTCTCAGGTTTTTGCATTGTTGACCAGTACAATTCAGGTAAATAAATGCACTTAAAAATTGCCCAGTATCAAATATTCTCCATTTTTGTGAATACATGAAACTTATTTTAATTTGCATCAGCTTGCTTTCATGATATTTATTCACATAAATGATACTAATTTTGAACTTGCAATATATCAGTTTGATCTGAATTTAGGCATCCCAAAATAATTTTCATTTGCAATTGGACTTCATCTTTACTAGTTAGTCTATTGTCATCATGCTTGTTATGGTTATACATTTTATTGATGAACAATTATATGTATCTTCGCTAGAGGATAAGATGAGGACGAAGATGATATAGAAGAGACCTATAGATGTTGTAGGTAAAAGATGTGAAATAATTAATCTTGTTGATATGATGAGAGGCAGAGGGAAATCTAAGTTGACATTATTAAAAACAATAAATACATATTTAAATATTTTTAATTTAAATAATAATAGTTTTTAGAGAGCTCAATGACGATAAAAGGTTCATGTAGTTGACACCAAATAGTTGAAATATACTGATTTTACTCTTATTGTATGAAGATTTAATGCATGTAAATTTGTCAATGCAGTTCCTGGAAGATTTCATTAATGGAGGTGAAGTTGCATCTTTCTTGGATTGCATCAGACTTACTGCTGGACCTTTACTTGCTCTTTGTGGTGCAATACGTCCTGCACGAATTCCTGTTCCTGTTTCTGTTGGCCACTCCCTTGTACAAAAGCAGAACAGTTTCATGTCATCTCACGGATTAATGGCAAATCCTTCTTCAACTGCAATCCAACTTCCATCTAGTTCACCCACAACTACTACACTTATGACCCAACTTGGCAGTCACAGTCTTCAAAATGCTGCAGTTTTATCTGCTGCTGGAAGAGGTGGGCCAGGACTTGTTCCTAGCTCATTATTGCCTTTTGATGTCTCAGTTGTTTTGAGGGGTCCATACTGGATTCGCATAATATATCGGAAAAAGTTTGCTGTGGATATGCGCTGCTTTGCTGGAGATCAGGTCTGGCTGCAGCCAGCGACACCTCCTAAAGGGGGACCTGCTGCTGGTGGATCTTTGCCATGTCCACAGTTTCGACCGTTCATCATGGAACATGTTGCTCAAGGATTGAATGCTCTGGAGCCCAATTTTTCTGCTGCATCGCATGCTGGTGGCCATCTTGGTTCAAGCAACGCCAATGTCAGTTCAGTCTCTCAACCACTGGCATCTAATGCTAACCGTATTAGTGTTGCATCTAGTGCTGGAATATCAAGACCAAGTTCTGTTATTGCAAATCAGGTAGGTGGCAACATAAATCGAATTGGCAGCGCCATGCTAGCCTCATCAGGTTTGTCTCCTGGGATCTCTGGAGTACCTTTACGTATATCTCCAGGTACCGGTTTCCCAGTTCATGTGAAAGGAGAGCTTAACGCAGCTTTTATTGGGCTTGGAGATGATGGAGGCTATGGTGGTGGTTGGGTTCCCCTTGCGGCCCTCAAGAAGGTGCTGCGTGGCATTCTCAAATATCTTGGTGTGTTGTGGTTGTTTGCGCAGTTGCCTGATCTCTTGAAAGAAATTCTAGGTTCAATCTTAAGGGATAATGAGGGGGCACTTTTGAATTTGGATCAAGAGCAACCTGCCTTGCGGTTTTTTGTTGGGTAAGAGATCTGTTGTCCATGTATTTATACTGCAACATTTAGAGGTTGTAGTCATGGAACTTTTGCTTTATTAGTTTTCTTTTCTGTTTTTTCGCTGCTGTATAGGTGAGACTTTCATAGTATTATTTTCTAGAACTATATAGGAATATATCACATAGTTTTAGTTGCTTACATTAGTTAATATTTTTATATATTAATAAAGCAATATGTCTGCTACTGTAAAGAGTGTTGTCCAAATCTAGACGCGGGCCTTAACCAAATTGAAAAGGGTCAAATCTGACCTAACTTGATGAAACTCGATTCAATTTGTTCTCCTGGTATCTTAAACCTTCCCTCTCATGCTCTCCTGACCAACTCATAATTTTCATTACTGGGTTTTGTCTATAAATGTTTACTATAGATAGAGAAAAAAAACAATATAATCCCTATCAAGCTGATGATATCTGTCCTGCTTTAACGGTTATATTATTCCTTTTTTTTTTTTAATTTCTGACTGCCTTTGGCAATCCCTGTGGGTATTCCCGACAGTTGATGTGAATGACTAAATGTTGTTCTCTCTCTTTTTTCTTACTGCAGAGGCTATGTATTTGCTGTGAGCGTGCACAGAGTTCAACTTCTTCTGCAAGTTTTGAGTGTGAAACGATTTCATCACCAGCAACAACAGCAGCAGCAGCAGCAAAATCAAAATACTTCTCAGGAAGAACTAGCCCCAGGAGAAATTAATGAGATATGTGACTACTTCAGCAGGCGTGTTGCATCTGAGCCCTACGATGCATCTAGGGTTGCTTCCTTCATCACACTTCTTACCCTACCTGTTTCAGTCCTCCGAGAATTCCTAAAACTGATTTCTTGGAAGAAAGGACTGTCACAAGCACATGGTGGAGACGTAGCAAGTGCTCAAAGGTCTCGCATAGAGATATGCTTGGAGAATCATTCGGGCTCTGTTTTAGATGAAAACTCAGAGGCCACGTCTTGTTCAAAGAGTAATATACATCATGATCGAGCCCATAATCTAGTAGATTTTGCTCTTACCTTTGTCCTTGACCCAGCTCATATCCCTCACATGAATGCTGCTGGCGGAGCTGCTTGGCTACCATACTGCGTGTCCGTGAGGCTAAGATATTCATTCGGTGATAATGCCCATGTTTCTTTTCTTGGAATGCAAGGAAGCCACGGTGGAAGAGCATGCTGGTCGCGACAGGAGGATTGGGAGAAATGCAAGCAGAGGATGGCGAGAGCAGCAGAATTTGCCAATGGGAATTCTGCAGCTGATGTCAGTCAGGGGAGGCTGAGATTGGTTGCTGACACATTGCAGAGGACATTGCAAATGTTACTGCAGCAGCTGAGAGATGGCGCTGTTCCGTTGAGCTCCAGTGGAACCTAGAGCACCCGTCTCGAAAATTCATCGATGCATGCATTAGACTTGTGCAGGATGGACTGATCGAATAGCTAGCACCTCATTTGACCCCCACCGTTCCACTGTTCTCTGGAGGCATCGAAGATGGTTCCTTTTCTCCGGACCACGAACCTAAGTATCTGACACTGGTGTAGAAATTTGTGGTGAGTTAGTTGCTTCCCAAGTTTGTATGCACATGCTATGTAAAAAATCAATGCATGTATAAATCGTTTGACGGAGAAAGGTACTAAACGATCCTACCAATTCCAGTTTCATGCTCGACCGGGCATCTGGCACGAGCACACAGAGGGAGAGAGAGAGGGGAGTCTTGTATAGTTGTCACCGGGGTTGTAGCAGTATAACTTGTTCAAGTTTACTAAACATTTTTAAACTCATTGTTAATTGGGGAATTCATCAGTAATTTTTTATCTTTTTTTTTTTTTTTTTTTGGCTCTGGACTGTCGAGGTGATCAATCGTTGCCGATGTCGCCTTAAACTGTTGACTAATGTAGGTATTGTTTGTAGATATTCAACGCCTTAAACTGTTGACTAATGTAGCTATTGTTTGTAGATATTCAACGTCTCTCAGGTACTTGGAAAAAAAGGGTATTTATCATAACATTGAACTGTTAGAAGAACTGTCTTGGAAGTTTCTACCTACTGTTCCAAGTAAACTCCTCTTGTTTAAGCTTCCGAGTGACAGTCGAGCTCTGCTCTCTTCTTCATTGCAGCATTTCTTTGCTTCTTCCCTACACTCCACATTGGGTGGGTTGCTGTAGCGAGAGAGAGAGACAGAGAGAAGGCCTTCTCACAGCACTTTTTTGGAGGCGCTATCTCCTGCATCGGTCCGTCGACGAACTACAACACAGACCAATCCTTTTCTAGTGTTCCATTCCAGTTGAAACTCTCTCTCTCTCTCTCTCTCTCTCATTGCAAATAAAAAGTCAAATGATCCCATTGATTTGGCACTTCAAACAAATTGCAAATATCCTAGAAGTTCAATGCAAATATTCATGCGTGTCTTCTGGAGTTTGATATCCAGTCCAATGTAAACAGTGTTTTCATGGGGTTTTCCCTCTGACGGGTAGGTCGTAAGAAAAAACTGTTATATATGTTCTTCAAATGAGACAAAATAGGGTCTATCAATGGTCAGATGAGAGTCTTAACCCCCAAAGGAGAATACAGCAAGCTTTTCTCCTGAAGGAAGAACATATGATCCCACAGTTTGGGATTCACGACTCTCCTGCTGCTGATAGGAAGGATTGGACGCCAAATACCAAGAAGAGTATGCCACTGGAGAGTGCAACCTGTAATCAAAACAATAGACAGCGTTAACTCGAATGAGTTTTCTGTAACAATATCTAAGGATGTTCCTTACCATTTTTTCTGATATCTGCGACGCCAGGCTCTTTCCTCCGATTACTGCCGCTGTGGTGCACAATGCTTGTCCGCTAAACCAAAATAATGAAGCAAAAACAGATTTAAGTTTGGCTAAAAATGAAATCAAACCACGAAAAAAAAACAGAGGATAGAGGCCATACATGATGCCCCCAAGAACTACACCAAACGGGTTCTCATCGGAAGCCAACCCAATTGTAGCAATCTGGAAAACAAATAGCTGTAACTTAGTGACCACAGCTAACCAGGGAGGAAAACACTAACCTCATTTAACCATGGTTTACCTGGCTCTTGTCACCCCACTCACCAAAGAACGTGATGGAAAATGCCTGCATCACATGGTAGCATATCAGATTAGACCTGCTAGAACAAAACAATGACACCAGTTATTTTCATTTATTTGGTCTTGTAACTTGAACACCATTACCTTGAGGAAGATGGGCGAGAAGAATTGGGTTAGAAATGGCCTCTGCTGTTTCTTCAAATCATCACTCCCCTAACGATACATAAAAAATATTACAGCATGACCTATGTCAAATAACAGCTTAAATATTACAGGAATCCATCAGATCATAGTAATCTCCATAAAATATAAGCAGTTAACGTTGACATGGTGGCAATGAATAGACATGCATTAGTAGCACGTGTACCAAAGCTAGTTTGTTAGTTGCTTTTCCCTTGAACTTTCACCATACATCTAAGGAAAGTACAAGAAAAGAGAGCTAGCAAGTTATATGTCAGAAAAAAGACTCGAGAAATCCACATATAGTTGTGCATATTACAACCCCTAACTAGTGCTTCTCTAGATCATGGAAGATAAAAAAAAATGCGAACTTAAGACTCTATTGCTGAAATTTCTGACGAAAATTGCAAAACCGATGCCAATAGACTCATAATTCCTCATATATAGGATACTGCTACCCTGTCCAAGTCATAAAAAAAAACACTTCTACTGTAGATCCAAAAAACTCCTCAAAACAGTGTCTTTCCTCCACGTTCCGGATATGACTAACTGATCTGGTTGGTCACTGTGTGGCAGGTGAGGACTTTTTCAACACTGTTGTACAATTGGGACTTGACCTGCCTAGCCCAGTCAAAAGGTATCTAGTTTCTTGTTCAGCCAAATTCAAGAATGGCAGATTCTATGTTATAGTCAATAGACCCACTTTTTCCTGGTTATGCAAGGAGAAAAGCCTGCCCAAAATGTGCATGCCCAATTACATTGATCCTGACCATCTTCACTAGAACATGTTTATCCATGCTATTTACTAGCTATTCTCTCCACACACACACACATATAGAAAGCACAACAGGAAATCAAGGAAAACATAGTTTGGCAAATTAGATGTCATGTGAAGAGTGAAAAAATCAACAAAGACCAATAGGCACAAGTATAATAACCTTGGTATTTACTTTGTTGCTTCCAGTTTCAGCCTTCCAATCAGCATTCTGAGGTGTTTAGAGAAACTTAGAAAAAACTCCATTAATGAAATGAGTTAAAATAGTTCTAGATAAGTTAACTAACCAATTTAGCTTCGACTTCTGCCAATTCTTCACTCTCACTAAAGGAATAATGGCAATTAGTTTTAAACACTATGTAAAGTCTTGAAATGAATGAGCAAACAAGAAATATAGATGCTCGAGAATGGTGCAGAAATAACCATACCTTTCTTCTTTAAATCCTTCCCATAATGACCACAGCCCAAATCCAAAGAACAACACAGTTGTTACGTGGTGTGACCATTTACGAGAAATCTGTTTCAATTAAACACTTTCTAAATTACAACATATGGCCAAAAAAAAAGTTGATAGGATTAAATTGAAAGAATACATATAAACAATTAATAAGACATAAAACCAGGACTTTGTAATCTGAAAAGTCTAGAAAGCCAGTGTATTTCTTTAGGTAACGAGTCCAATGACATAAAATAAGGAAGCAAAATATTAAGATTCCAGCTGAAATAAAGTGCTTCATTCAAAAGCCCTGATTAGCTGGGGTAGCTCTTTTAAATGGACAATCATTACAATCACATTTTTATCATTCAGTCAAGAGAGGACAAGTTTTATGTGTAGTGGAAATATGTAAACCTCGGTCAAAACTCAAAATGAGCTTCCATTAGTCATACATGGAATATCAGGTTTCTCCTCTCCTTAAGTAGATTGCATGAGTTTTGTTTGGTCATTACATAAATCTTACAGTTCCAACTGATAATTATCTGTTGTGGATTGTATGACTGCAGTTACTCATATCCCAGAATGCAGTTGTCACCATAATTCCAACAAAGCTTCAGCTGTAACTTCATTTCCATTATCAGTTAGAACCTAATATTACCAAAAATCCAAAATAATTTATTTGGTCTCGGAAACCCAATAGACAGAACATCCTAGTTAGCATCCACTCAGAAGTCTCATCAGAATTCTCAAGTACCCTTAACTTAGATATTATTAGCATGTAATGAATGGAAGTGAATGATTAATCATAATACAGAGGCAACTTATTTTCGAGTCCTCAATTTCCTAGGTTCCTTCAAAATATCAAGTAAAAGCACCTGTTTCTGGCAGCATTTGAATAATAATCACTAGATGCACTCAGTGTGTAATTTGATCTAAACTGAGACATTCAATTAAAACATTAGTTTCTCATATACATGGATTATAGTTGATATATCAACTAGCCACAATAAGGTTGCTCCTTTACTATTGAAGTTACTATGGTTCAGGACATTCAAACAGTCCTTTGCCACCTAAGTCACCATGGTTCAAGTCATAAAAACAGTAAGGATGCAAGTCTTGATTCTTCCCAAGCAACAAATTGAAAAGAGCCTCATACAGTGGGCTGCCCTATTTAGCTAAGATATCAACTAATAAAAAAATAGTTTTATTTTTTTAAATAAAACATTAGCCTCATACACCATTAGTTTCTCATAGACATGGATTGCAAAATTTTGTGGCTACTGGGATTTAAGTTTTATGGATGTTTTGATGTACTTTAAAAGTGGCCAAGAAAAAAATTGAGACCATCACAAGGATTTTCAGTCACGTTAATCAAGCCACATGATAAATACAACAAATATGGGATTTTTGGACTGGATTTCTGGGCTTCCATAGTAAAAAAATAGAGAAAGGAAAAAACAGTTTGATTTCTCCCAGACCACATATCCCTTTCATCAATTAGTCAATATTCCTCATCAACACACACACACACACACTCTCTCTCTCTCTCTCTCTCTCTCTCTCTCACACACACACACACACACACACACACACAAGACCCCCATCTCCTTCTCACATCTCTCAATTTCTCTGTCTCTATACATTACAAAAATTCCATCTGTTCTCTTTTTATCCCATGGTTTAAATTCAACAATTAAAAATTAACCAATGCAAGGTGAAGATGTACAACTAGTTAACATAGTAAACATAGAAATGATAAAAAGGGAGGAACATTAGAAAGAAAGGGAAGGAAGAAGAAAAGAGTGAGCTGGTGGTGAACTGGTTGCTTTGAGATTAAGCAAAATTTATTCAGTTTAACATATCCAAGTTAGTATAGATCATTGTTCTGGATATAAATCTGTTCAATACCATATTAAATGTTGTTGATACAATATGACACTAATATGCAGATACTCCTATACCACTTGGTATATTGTGAAATAATAATTTAAATAAATACAGATAGAACTATATAGAGGTGTCAACCTAATGAGGCAGGGATGAGGGATATAAATAGGGATGGGGGAGGGTATGAGGGGCATTTTCTATCATCTGTCCGGTTATGGGACAGGTACAAATAGAGTACTCCCCACCCCATCCCCATACCCGTCCCCACCTCATCAATATGTGGGCCAAATGCTAGGCGAGCTAGGCACCCACCTAGTCTACCTAATACAAATCAAGCTGGATTCACTGTAGTCAAAAGCGCTAGGCACCAAAAGGTGCCATAGTCCCAAAATGCTTGAGGCACTAAGCGCTCGCCCGAGGGAAGCGAGGCGCTCCAGATATTATAATTTAAAAATTATATATCATGAT